ACCTATGCAACTTCCAGAAATCATTTGGAAATACTCGAAATAGTTAAAAACTGTAACTGTCACGTTATTCCAAAGCTTCATTTCCATCCATGACATGTGCTGCTCTTCTTCTAATAACTGAAGTTTATTTCTTGCTAAGAGGGGGAAAATGGTAAGAGGAGCATTACGGAAGCGGTTAGATTGCAAAAACAAGTCATTAGAGGGAAAGAAACTCTATAATTCCCAAAATAGCAGGTAGGAACAACATTGAGCACTAAGAAAATATGGGAATGTGTAATCAGAAAGAAAGCAGCTCCTTGTAACAGCTGGCTATTGCTGTTCAGTGATGACAGCGACAGACCACTGTGGTTAGCTTTCTTATTTGTGGGTCAGATAGCAAGGCTCTGGTGATGTTGGCTGAGGCTGACGCTGATGAAGCCCTGGGCTGCAGCCTGCGTCCACCTCTGCTTCGCAAGGCTCTCATCTCTGTGGATCGGCAGGCTCTGTGTATACACCTCTAAAGCAATGCCAGAACCACAGGGCAACAAGCAGAAATGCCAGCGCCACCTCAGGGCTGGGCCGGAGCCCTCACACCCTCAATTCACTTTATATTTTATTGACCAGTGTGGGCCACAAGTTCATGTCCAAAGAGAAGAGGGAAGAGAATACAGATGCCCCTGACTTAATAGTTCAACTTAAGATATAAAGGGTCTACAGCCTTCTAAGTGCTGGGATTACAGTTCACACCACCATTCCCAATCTCAATCACTTCTCAGTGTGCTCCCGGGGTGGGGCTGGCATGGCACACCAGGGATCGAACCCTGGTCACTGTGCTCTGCCTAAGCAGGTGCATTAGCCCACTGAGCTATCTGGCCAGCCCTTCAACTTAAGATTTTTAATTTTATCATGATGCAAAAGGGCATTGATAGGGCCAGTGATACAGTTCAGCAGCATAAATGCCTGCCTAGCAAGCACAAGGTCCTGAGTTCAATTCCCAGTACCAAAATAAAAAGGGCGTTAATAGAGCCAGGCTACTTTTCACTTTTAGCACAGTAACTTACATGAAATATTCTATACTTATCATAAAAATAGGCTCTGTGTTAGAACATTATGAGCTTATTTAAGGGAGGCTTGGTTAAGCTATGATGCTATCTAGGTTAGCTGTATTAAGTACATTTTTGACAGTGTTTGCCACTGACTGAGTTTTCTGGGCCATCACTGTGGTAAGTTGGGGATCACGTATGTACTTCGCCTTTTGTGGAAGGAACTTCAGAGCTACGTGGCAAAGACGTGGGAAAAAGATGATAAGGAATTAGGGCTGTTGAATCTTCCACTTTAAATCACAGTATGATGATTAATAATATTTCAGAGGAATGTTTTGATTCTTCAGATACCTCTTTTTAAAAATTTATGGCTAAGCTATTATCAGTAGGCTTGCTTTTTATGTGAGGATGATGCTCAAATTCACCTCTGTGATTAAGGTTTATGCAAGTGAAATTTGACGCGCTGCAGAGCTAGGAGAGATGAGGGCATCGAGTAGGAACGGTCCCTGGGTGCCCTCAGCGTTGAATAGGAAATGTAAGATTTCAGCATTACCCAAGTTTTTGAAAATGTTGTTATAAAAACAACTTTTAAAAATCTTGGCTTGTAGGTGCTGAGAAGGTAGCTCAGTGGCATAAGCACCTTCCTGGAAAGCACAAAGACCCAAGTTTGATTCCTGGCCCCATATGCTGTGCTGGTCCCAGGCCCTGGAACCCCAGGTGGTGCATGCCTATAATCCCAGTGCTGGGGAGGTTGAGTCAGGAGGCTTACTGAGAGTTTGAGACCAGCCTGGGGGCTACAATTTTGAGCACAAGTTTGGGTGCAAACTGCATAGTGAGACCCTGTCTCAAAAACAACAACAACAACAACAACAACAACAACAACAACAACAACAACAACAATCTTGGCTTATAAATACAAAGAAAAGTGTTTGAGATTAGTGTCTCCTTGCTAATTCAATTTAAAAAATCAGTAGAGGCTGGCATTGTGGCTCAGGGTTGGAGCACTTGCCTAGCATATGCAAGACCGCAGCTTTAATAAGTCCATATTAACAGTTCGATCCTTTGGATCTGTGACTAATTCTAAGAAAGACTATAGTTTTGTTAAAAAATCCAGTGCTTCTTGATGAAAGCAGAAATGAAATTATTTGATTCTTTTGACTGATTGTTTCATTAATAACTATTATAAATGAGAATATGAGCAAGTTATGTTTACTTAATATTACTAGTGTTTTCAGTTGGAGTATGAAATAAACTTCAGATTTGACTCTGAATGAATTCAGTATGATTCTTCTTCAGTGTCTCAGCTGCAGGGAGAAGTGGTGAGATCCCAGCTTCTTAGATCCCCGCAGTGACTGATGCTGAGTTCTGTCCTTAGGAAGCCGTCTGGCCAGCGTTACACTCACCAGGGAAAGCAGTGGTGCAGAAATGAGTAGCCTGCACAGCAGGCCAGAGGAAAATGTACCAAAGTATAAGTGAGGGACTTCTCTGTTTTCCTTTTTCACAGTTAATTTTTATTGAGAAACAAATAGCAATGAGACAGTTTCAAAACCGATTAATACGATAGTTTCAATAATTAATATATTGCATATTGTTGTCTTCGTAGTGGTTATTCATAGTATAAGATGCAGACATGATATCCTGTCCAAACACTGTTAGTACAAATCTTACTTCTCATTGAATTAAGAGAAAGTAGCTGCATATCTATCCTAACTATTTTGTATATACAGATACAAAATGGTCCTTTATTTGTATCTCCTTTTTTTGGTTTAATTTTGTCAGAGATGGGTATTCCATTGCCATTTAAATATTGTAGGTACATGAATTCAGCAAAATAATCCAAAACAGTCCAGTAGTCCATAATAGTAGTGGGTTATCCATAGGACTGGCAGTGTCAGAAGTTGTTGACTTGAGCCTTTTACAGCTCAGAATATTAATATGGATTTACTTTTTATACCTAATTTTTATCCTTTTCTTAGAGAAAAAAGGGCTATAAGATCAGGCAGCATTTTGGCCCTAGCCTTTCAAGGTCAGTGAAGACTCAGGACATAGTAGAACCTGTACTGTAACATCCTGTAACTCAGTTGTGTCCCAAATTTACTGATCAAGGAGATTATGGGGCCACACAGGAAAGTGATCGATGATGTAGAGTGTGCCTAAGGAGAGTCACATGGAGAGAAAACATTCTCTCAGGCTTTCTCAGAGAGCATATTGGCCAAGCAGTGGCCGTGGCTCATCCACATGGCTGATACTGACAAAGGATCTGCAAACTGTGGTACAGGGTTTCAGGGTAAATCCTGAGGAGATTTGACTGACCTTGTCAGATACAAACGTTACATTTCTTGTTACATAGGTCTTGCTTTATCTTGGTCTTAACCATTCATAGTAGTTGTGATTACAACAAGTAGTACTGAGCTTTACATGTATTATGACATCTAATGCTCAAACAGCCTGTCAAGGTAGAAATTCCTATTAATCTTACTTGCAGATGAGGGAATAAACACAAAGATGTTCCTGTATTTCAGAGTTTCCATAATTCTGTATAGTGCTTTTTGCTAAAAAGTTGAATAACTTTTAAAGCAAGAAAACTGTACCATTTTCAGTGCTCCCAGTCTGCAGGCAGTGTGATGCATACCCCTTCCACAGCTTTCTTGTAGGCTAGTTCTGTCCAGCAGTGGGAAGACTGAGTTCTGTGGACCCCTATCTTAAGCAAGTTCTGAAATTCTCTGAACTTCAGTTTCCTCATATGTAAAATGGCGCTAATTACTTCTCACCATTGTTGAGGCTATCAAATGAAATATATGAAAACAATTTCTACATGTAAATCAAGTATGCCATAAAGTCAGGTCGTGATTTATTATGCAGTCAAACATTTAAAATTAGGTAGAATATTATAAGCAGATGTTTCCTGGACAACACATAATACATTCATAATCAGAACATTAAAAACAAAGACGTGGAAGCTGGCCCTGATGCTGAAGATCTGATTGGCTGTGATGTAAACTTGAGCCATCTCCGAGTTCTGTGAAGGGTACGTGAAGTGGTAGTGCTGTGTGTGGTAACACCAGTTCTCGCTTCCAAGGCGTACACAGATAACCAGTAGTAAGCAATACCATTATTTTACCGATATCTTGAATTGCTGTTTATTAATGTTTCTCACAGGTTTCTGTAGAATTAGGATTTTTAGTCTTAAATAATTAAATGAGAGAAAACCTTTTTGTTTTATTTATTCTTGTATTCCCTATTGTGTAGACCATTGTCTGCTGTGCACTTGTTTAAAGAATGAATGAAATAATATTCTGACAGTTGAAAAAGGGCTTTATAAGTAGGTACCATGCATTGTACATGAAAATATTAAGAATAATATTCATAATACTTATTGATTAAAAAATACAGTGAATTCTTAAATTTCAAAAAATTGCTACAGTAAAAGACAAATTAACACCAGCCCCCAAAGTCCTCCCGCTCGCCTCAGACACTTAGCCCAGTGTTCTGGCCCGTCTGCTGCAGCTCTGGGAGCCTCCTCGGTGAGCATCGTTAGTGTATTGTCAGGGCTGCTTCAGTGTCCTGAACTGATGCGCGACACTTACCTTTCATGGTGGTTTTTGCTTTGAGCAACAGCCAGAAGTTACACAATGCCACATTCCCTGAATGAGGCGAAAAGCCCTCGTGCTGTTTTTACAAGTCTCATTTTTTGTTGGACGGCACTCAGCAGCAGCGTTCGTTGAATCTTTGGTTATGCCTTACAAAGACACACACACAAGAGTACTCCCAGAACTGGTTTAGAAAGTGGCGAGAATGGTGGGGTAAATGAGAGGTAGTATTTTCAAGGGGATTCATAGCAATCTCTTTTTTACTAGAGTAACATTTTTAAAAAAATTTAAATATTCAATTTATACTTTTCTTATACCTCATATCCTGAGATTTCTTTGACTCACATATTTGGCAAATTTGTCATTGTGTCTCATGTGCTTTCCTTAGGGTCGCGCTTCCTTAACACAAGAGAAAGCGAAGTTTGCCCATGAACATAAAGAAATGAAGAACCTAGAAGCCATTGTTAAAGAAATAAAACCAACTGTTCTTATAGGTAAGTATTTTCTCCCCTTTTTCGTTCCCATTCCTCAGTCTTTTAGAAATAAGTTAGCTTTTTTCAAACTCTAGCCCTTAGAATTCTAAATAATTATAGTCACTACAGTAACAGCATCCCAGACACCTACTTGTAATGTCTGAGTTCGGTTCCATCTGGGTATTTCCGGGGTGTGAGGCCCCTTTGCTGACGCTGTCAGTCTGCTGTGATCTGGCCTGGTGGGCACTTTTCCAGGCTTGATTACCTCAGAGAGGTGGTCCGGAGAACACCAAGCAGTGCCTGGACATACTTGTTTTTAGTTGTCTTAACTAGAAAAGGACTTTGGAGAGGTAGGGGAGACTACTGACATGTTGTAAGGTGAGGCCAGGGATGCTGTTAAATAATCCTAAAATGCACTAGGTAGCCCTGCAACAAGAAATTAATTCAGCTCAAAGTGCTGATAGTGCTAAGGTTGAAAAACACTAAAGCTGAGACTTCTAGAAGACAAGAATCGTATCTCATACACTTTTATTCTTCTTGTAGGACTTAACATAATTCTTACAAATTGTATGTGCACAGTAAGAGTGAAATATTGTCAGATTTGTATACTTAAAAACAATTTCAAAGGAAACCATGAATGTTCATCTTGTGTGTGTGCATCTGTCTTTACATTGCTTCATACTCTAATCCTTGAGCTCTTGGGTAGTTAACTATATTGAGAATAATGATGATAATTATAATAAAAACTACTGACTGCCTGACAGGAGTTTTACTAAATGCTTAGGATTCTTTAGTAAAATGTATTCTTTCAATAATCTTACAGCTTTCCATTTTCATTATGCTAATTGCTTTATTCTCCTTTTGATGAGTGAAACTCCAATTTTCCAGATGAATGAAATTGTCTGAGATGTTAACATTGTTTACAAAACATAATTGCTTTACAGCCCGATAGACTGAAGTGGCTCAGAGAACTGCTCATGGCGTGGGCGGGTGCTGCCCATTTAGCTTCCTGCTACAAATGCCTGTAATCAGCGTCCATGCGATGAGCCACTAAGCTAGATATTAGGAGTCAAATGCTGCATCTGTAATTCTTAAAGGTGCTTATTGATTTATAACCCTAAAGATTGTTGGCATTAATAAACAATTATTTTTATCATTATACTTTAATGCAAATAATCTTCATTGTGTTTAGCATCTACTAGAAAATGGCCCAACATACTTTGTTTCGAGGGTTTCTTGGGGGGTGAATGGATGGCAGTCCGAATCACCGATTTCTCCTGTCCTTATTAGGAGTTGCTGCGATAGGCGGCGCATTCACAGAGCCGATTCTCAAAGATATGGCTGCCTTCAACCAACGCCCTATTATTTTTGCTTTGAGTAATCCAACCAGCAAAGCAGAATGTTCTGCAGAGCAGTGCTATAAAATAACTCAGGTAAAAGAAAACGGGTATCTTAATAATCAGATTTTGAAATCAGAGGGGGGCCCGGGGTGTTAAGGTGCTCACCCTACAACCTTTAAAAATTGTCTAAGCAAGACTGAAAGAAAAGTGAGCAGATACAAGGGATGGGAACTGTCCCCTTCTCCTGAGTGGTACTGTCTTCTCTTCTTAAGTAAATTTTGTTAAGTTTCAGCAGTAATTTTCTTCTAGTGCTTTTGAAGTATCTAAGATTTAAATATAAAATCTAAATAAAAAGAAAAAAAAGCTTGGTTTTTGCACAGTTATTAAAATAGCTTTTAACTAGCTAGTCCCAACATTGGAGCATGTACTATAAAACCACAATCTAATTTTTGCTTTGCTAAATTTTGGGTTTGGCTTTTGATGTTGTGGGCGGAACATTTGGATAGCTGTCTTGATATCCGGCCAGGTTGGGATAGAAGTCCTCAAGGCTTCAATACTCTGCTGTTGTTTTGTTTTGAAGTTATTTTATACTATGTTTATACTGATATATCTGATTGGTCGGCGGAGCCTTTTGTTCCTTTCAAAGACATGAAAATGTCCTTACAACAAAAGAGTGTGGGCCATATCCATGTGTCTTAATTACCCTTCTCTTGTTGCTGGGACAAATACCCGACACTCACGATGAAGGAAGGAAAGGTTTATTTAGCTCACAGTTACTGGAGGGTTCAGTCCATTTTCAGCTGGCTCCCAGGCAGAGCGGCACATGGCAGAGAGCAACCTTTCATGGTGGCGGCCAAGAGCAGAGAGCAAGGGAGGGGCAGCAGCAGCTCAAGCCCCAGCTTCTCTTCCCTTCTTACATTGAAATGCAAATTACCTGCGGGGGCGGGGCAGGTGCAGCATCCACACCCACAAAAATCAATCACAAACTCCAGAAGCCGCCCCATGACTGCATGAGGCTTTGGGGGCACCTGTACACAAACCATAACACCATATAAAACCTTCATTTGGCAAATAAAGTCACCATCAACCAGAAAGATAAACAAATACAAAGTTATGTCACTCAGCACAAGTCTGAACTTGATGACTATAGTTCATTAATACTGTATTCTTAATTTCTCATTATTAGAATTAATTTTTTGGAAGAACTCTATTGTTTACTGCCCTTATTTAGAATAACATCAATATTTCACTGTTTTAATTTTTATCTCATCTATAAATTCAGGTGCTTCCTCTCATTCCTGAATAGCTCAAACATCTTTAAGGGAAAATACAACTTTTTGAGTAGTAACAAAATTTTGGCCTATGCTTTGTGCATAGGAAGCACAAAATAAACAAATGTTGAATTATTTTATAATAGTATATATGAGTTTAGAGACTCATCTGCAGATGAATTTATAAAATAGTATAAAGTAACTGGCTTCAACTCTTATGGTCTTACCATAATGTTCTATATTGTCAGACATAAAATACTGAAAGTCATTTTGTGGCTGAAAATTAAGTCCTTTCCTAAATTAATGATATTTCCAGGATTCTAATATAATATCTGTCTTTTTTATCATTAGAAGTTTTTAATTGGAAACTTATGCAGAAATGGTTGATGGCCCTATGGGTCGGAGCACTGCAGAGAACCCGGTGATAGTCTTAGCGAATCTTTTACGCACCTCTCCTGGGAGTATAAGATAGAGGATAGTAATAATGATGCCTTCCAGAGCGTGCTGCTCACCGTCACAAAAGTTTGCCTAGACTTACAAGGAAGTTAATGAAAAGTCAGGGGGTTTGCTAAGCACCCACATTTTCGGTATGGGATAATTGTGTCATAATACATTAGGCTTAAAATAACCTACTTCCTTTTAAAGTTAGTGTTTTCTCTTGCAGGGACGTGCAATTTTCGCCAGTGGCAGTCCTTTCGATCCAGTCACTCTTCCAAATGGACGGACCCTGTATCCTGGCCAGGGCAACAATTCCTATGTGTTCCCCGGAGTTGCTCTTGGGGTTGTCGCATGTGGACTGAGGACCATCACAGACGACATCTTTCTCACTACCGCTGAGGTACTGTAAAACACCTGTTTGCCGGGCTACGAATAGGTGCAGTCTCAGTTACCTGATATTTTCTTTATCTGGTATCTCAGCCTTTCTTGAAAATGAAGTCTGAAAAACAAAATCCTTTCCATTAGAGGATTTGAGATTGTTATCAAACTCGTATGGAGTCATTAATAGAAGATTTTTCCTTGATAGCTTTTGGATATTGTGTTTTCATTTCATAGAAGGAATACTTTTTTTAAAAAAATTCATACTACTGATCAAATTCTATGACAAGAGATGATTAAAATACTGTTTCTGGGGCTGGGGAGATGGCTCAGTAGACTAAGCGAACGGCCTGAGTTCAATCCCTGGTTCCACCAAAAAAAAACCTGTTTCTAAGTGATAATTACATGATCAGTATTTCTCCGTTGAGAATCTTTGGCGATTGTGGCATTTTGAAGGCTTAAAGTCTGATGTAAATGTAGAAGAGGTGTTTACTATTATGAGTTCAGTACAAAAGACAGAAGCCAGTTCAACAAAGACAGAAAATTAAATGTTTATAAAATTATAAGAAAAATGAGTGATGACACTTCAGGAAAAGGTCTCTGAATATCAAAACAGGCCCAGTATTTTGTATTATCAGAAACCTTGAAAAGTATGATTTTCACTCCACTTGCAAGCTAACAAGGTGGCCCTGGCTTTGAATATACGGGCAGAAGACACGAAGGTGTTAGATCAGTGACAGAGGGCTCTGTTTCTCATGGCATAAAAGGTGCGGTGAGCATCCCGCCCCTCAGCGTCAGTTCCTGTGCCTCCGTGTCTCGGCCGGGGTAGCTGTGGTTGGCATGTATGGGCACAGTCAGGAACTGTGCCTACTCAGTGTTCATCTGGTCAGCACCACCTTTTCAGAATTAAACAAGGTGGAATTTGTGAATGAGAATCCATGTCTTATAGGAGAAGTGTGCTGAATTGAGTCAAACATAGCTTGGTCATTATTCAAATACATTTCTCCCGCAAAAATGCTTTCCTTTCTGTTGTGAAACCGTAACCTTAAGAACATAGGCAAAGACACTATGGCACTGACGTCACCTGAAGCAGCACACATCAGTGGTCAGCGATGGCTCATCTTGTGAGAATAGGAGTTTGGAAACTAAGGTTCGGCTCCTGTCTTTTTCTTCCCTGACTCTAAAAGCATGATACCTAGCGTCACAGGCTTTCTGTAATGCAAAAATTAGCAAACAGAAACAGATGTCTCACTTACTACGAGAGCATTTTGCTTATTTATTTTTACGTATTTAGTGCAGGTCTACAGGATCTCACTATGTAGATCGGACTCATAGTGATTCTCCTGTGTTCAGCCTCCCAAGTGCTGGGATTAAGCATGCGCCACCACTCCCAGTCTCTATCACTGTCTCAGCATGCCTAAAGATGGAACCCTGGCTGCTGCGCTCTGCCTAAGCAGGAGCTTTATAGTCTGCTGAGCTGTCTGGCAGGCCCTTTTTTTTTTTTTTTTTTTTTTTTCGGTACCCAGGATCAGACTCAGGACCTTGCGCTTGCCAGGCAGACACTTAGGCCGCTGAGCTATCTCCCTGGCCCCAAAAAGAGCACTTTAAAGTTACTTTTACATTACAGAAAATATGTAATCACTGTGTTTTAAAACAGCACACATCAGAAGAAAAAGATTATGTAGCTAGGGTTTATTTCCTAAACAACTCTAGCACCCTCTAGTGACAAATGTTATGAAAAATATTTTTCATTTCTTAGGAAGAGTAGTGAGCATTCCTAAAAAACTTTGAAGAAAAAGAAAAGATGTGATGCACATAGCCCTTTGCGTATCATAGTAGCCCTCTCAGACTGTATCTTTGGTCTCCTCACTGGTTTTCTCTTGGCCTTCAGCACAGTATTCCTGTTTCTTCCATTGCATTTACTGTTTGTCTTCTTGTAACTAAGGGTGATCACACACACATTCATTGTTTTAGTCCCTTTTCTGCTGTTTTTCCACTGTACTGGTTGATACATTGTGTCAATTTGATAAGTTTAGAAGTTTAATTAAGTGGCTCAGCAGGCGGCCAGGATTCTTAGTTTGCAGATGTGCTCAACCTATGCCAGAGGAGGGCGTGGACACCCTGTGAGGTCTACACCCCCAGCCCAGGTTGGCCGGCTTATGCTATCAGGAGGGGACAGGGGCTGGCTCGAAGCCCAGCTGCTGCCTTTGCCTTTGCTCTTTGCTGTCCTCTGCTGCCATGAGCTGCTGCTTTCTGCCACTTGCCGCTCTGCCTGGGAGCCAGCCGAGTATAGACTGAAAGCTCCGCAAACTGTGAGCTAAATAAAATCGTAACCGAGACATTCATGCACGTTGAGGTATTCCACCTGCGCATTTGTTCCCATTATCTTCAGCCTACTGGTCGGATCTGTGTGCGCCTGGTCATCTTTCATCCTAAGTCCGTTACCTGCGAAATAATTTCCCAGAAATATCTTGCTGTGGCCTCAGTATGCTTAAAACCATACTGACCAGCTGCCCTCGCTCTCAACAATCATATTTACGTAGAGATCGTCTTTCCAAGCAGGCACTAACCCTGTGAAGCCTGGCATTCTTGTCATTCTGCCTTGACCCAAAGCCTGCAAACACCATGCATATGCCCACCGAGTAACGGCTTCAGCACCTCCCCCGCCCGCCTGCCTGCCCTGAGAATTGTCCTCCACCTGCCTAAGCCTGTCCTTGAGGGCGGTGCTTCCCTCTGGCTTCATCCTGGAGACTGTGACAGATATGGCTTGTCTTGCTCTTTGTCCTTAGCCCTAGTTGTGTGCTCTTTTTCCCTCCATCTCACACAGTTTATTTAACAAGAGAAACAAGAAATCACTTGGAACAGTCTGAACAACAATTCATTGTTCATAAGTAATCATCTTTTATTGCATGATTTATAATCCATAGCTGTCCTCTTATTAAACATATTGATATTTAATTTTATTCCTAGTAGGCATCATATTCCTGTAGATTTTGTGTGTGTGTGTGCATGTGCAGGGTATCACTACGCAGCTCAAACTCACAGTGCTCCTCCTGTTTTCAGCCTCCCCAGCACTGGGATTACAGGTTCATGCCATGATACTTGGACTCAGTGGCCGGCTTAGCATGCCTGGGGGCAGGGCTGGCGTGGTGTATGGTGCCAGGGATCGAACTCTGGTCCCTGCGCTTGCCTAAGCAGGTGCTTAGTCCACTGAGCTTTCTTTAGATTTTTTAAGAAAAGCATTATAGACTGGAATATAGCTTGGCTGTTCAATTGTCTACCTGGTAAGTGCAAGGACCCGTTTTTTTTTTTTTCCGGTACCAGGGATTGAACTCAGGACCCTGTGCTTGGCAGGCAAGTGCTTATTCTACTGAGCTATTTCCCTTGGCCAAGGACCCAGGTTTGATCTCCTGATACCATGTGCCATGCTGGCCACCAAAACCAGGCGTGATAGTGCACACCTGTAATCCCATTGCTGGGAGGCTGAGACAGGAGGATCACTACAAGTCTGAGCTGTGTAGTGAGAACCCTGTACCAAATAAATAAAAGTTTTTTAAAACTTTTTTTTTATAAAACAAAAGCATTACATTTTATTTATTTATTTTTATGGAACCGGGGATTGAAATAAGGCCCTTGCACTTGCCAGGCAAGCACTTATTTTACTGAGCTATCTCCCTGGCCCAAAAGCATTATATTTTAAAAGATTATATTGTAGATTTTTGGGTAGTATTGGGGATTGAACTCACAGCCCAGGATTTTCACATTTAGCCACATGCCCTGCCATTGTTATTTTTTATTTTGACGCAGTATTTCACTGAGTTTCCCAGGTTGGGCTCACGTTGCAGCTCTGCTTCAGCTTCCCAGAGCACAGGCACTGTGGGCAGGGCCACCACATCTGGCTGATTATTTTCTTTAAGGACAGAGAGTCTACCAGATCTTTCAGAGTTCTGGGAGCACCTCGGGAATGTTATACACAAAGCAGAAACCCTTAAGACTTGTGAAAGTGAACTAAACAGAAGGAATTGTACAACCTAGCAAGAATTAAATGGAGAGATACTTGAAATCAGCCACAGCGTAGTGAGAGAGAGAAGAGTCGGTGCACGGCAGAGGCGGCAAGCAGGCTTTTGAAGGCGTCGATAAGTGCGAGCAAGATCGGAGCTCCTGTGCGCCCATTCCTTTCCCGCGATGTGTTGGTCCACTTTGAGTTATTATAAACGAAATGCCGCAGGCAGACTCGCTTTATAAAGAAGTTGTGTTGATCCCACAGTTTTAGAGGCCACGTGCAAACAGCACGGCACAGCACGGCACGGCTCTGGCGAGGGCCCCGCAGTGGGTGGTAAGTGCGTGTGAGCCAACCAGCCGAAGCCTGGGCCAGCCGGCTCCTCCCAGTGCCTCCTGTCCCGGCCTCTCCAGGCTCCTCTGCTGAAGGCTCTGCCCCGCCACTGCTGCATGGAGTGCAACTTCCAACACATGATTGGGGGCCGCACTTAAACTCATCAGAGCATAGCACCCCTAGAATCAGCTCCTTATACTGGTTTGCTGCCTGACCCTGTTCCACAGTTTCTTGTCCTCCTCTCTGTGTGTCAGGCATGCACGGAGGGGAAGGATTTGGAATGATTCTTTACTTCACCATCTCCTGACTGTTCCTTGTCTCTTTAATGAGACATTTTTGTAGCATTCTAGAGAAAGAAACTGATAACCGGACGAGGTGGCACAAGCACTTAATCCCAGCTCTCTGGGAGACTGAGACAGGAGGATCAATCACTGAGTTGGAGGCGGCCTCAGGGCTACAGAAATGAGCACAAAGCCAGCCGGAACTGCATAGTGAGACCTCGTTTCAAAACAAAACAAAGCGAAAGGGTGTTGAATGCGCGCAGTATGCTAGTTGCTATGGGGCGTACACATTGCTCAAATGAACAGTCGAAAAATTCGAAGTTGATTGACTTGCAAATCAGAGAGCTGACCGCAAAGACTATTTTACTTACACTTTGCCATGCTGGCGATTTATCTCTTCTTTTTAAA